AAATCCCTAGTGGCCCATTTTCTATAGCTTATACGCCCCCGTCCTTTGATTTCCTCACCTATGATTACCCTTTGATCAAGTTGTATGGAAAATATTAAAGGTTAAGAATAATTTTTAATAAAAAATATTGCTAAAATGAAAATCTTATTTCATATCGTCTTTTTTTTGCAATTGCGATGCAGTTATGCGTAACTGCAACTTTTTTACTATAACTAGTGTTAGCACCAGTCTCAAAGAGGGACGGATGTGAGTATGCGTTGATCACTTGCAGTTTTTTTCTTCATTTACATACTCTCTGCTATTAAAATGGAGAAGGTAGTATTTCAACAATAGCTAGTTCATATTCAAAGTGGTACGTAAAAGAAAAAAACTATTATATATGACATCGGCTTCAGATCCTGATCGTCAAGATTTCAAAATATAGATATCGATTCGAAACAATATCTTCAAAACTTTACCATTACTTGTGGCAAAGGATATGGTAGCCAAAAAATGTTGCACAAATCAATACTCATTTTTTTTCTTATGATCTTATTTCTTTTTACTTTTCTTTTGTACCAATTTTTCTCTCAAGCTAAAGCAATAAAACATCGCATCATAGTCGATGTTGCGTGTGTATACTCTTAATTCACAAATTTTTATCATTCTTCAATAAATTTAAGATTAATAAATCACTTATTTATGAACTATTCAAATTGCTTTTATACTTTATACTTTCGAGATTTTCGAAGTTGTCGATATTTTCTGTTTCTGAGTTCTCACTTTTCATGATTTTGGACATTCGAGAATTTTTTTCCTGAATTTTCGTTTTTCGAGTCTTATCCACTTCGAAATTTCATTCCTTTCGAGCAATTAACAGTAAACCCATTCATCTACACGCACACACCAGACCCACGACATTTTTATCATGAAAACTTTGTATACATACAGTTAAGATTAGAAATTCATATATCGAGTTTAATCAACTTTTGTTATCACACAAACTCTGCTTTTATTATTGTTCCTATTCGCGCACACAAAACACGAAGAACAAAGAAAGATGAAAGAAAAAAAAAGAGAAGCACACAAAACATACAAGATGAATTTGCGCGTTAGCACAAAACAACTGAAACAAAACAAAACAAAACAAAACAAAAAAAGAAAATGTAAAGTTGGTCTGTTTGTTTTTCATAATGAAATAAATTAACATAGAAAAAAAAGGAAAACCACAATTAAAAGTATCAGTTTGTTTTTCTGGAATTTAGTTAATCTTTTTCTTTTCTTGATTTTTTTCCTGAAAGCGCCGTACAACATATGGACGGATAATCCGACCTACTACTTTACTGTTCTATACACACACACACACACACACACATGTTGTCGTTGTGAAACAAAACAAAAAAAAAGGAAAGAAAGAAAACACACACAAAAAAACAATGTTCAACAGTAACATAGTTATAATCATATTTATCTTTGTTGAAGAAAAATTTTACGTGACATAAACATTTGATTGTTAAGTTCAACAACAGCTTGTGTTGCATCTTTTATTGTTTCACAAGCAACAACACCAAAACCAGTTGGTTTACCATTAACATCACAACGTATTTTAAGTGTATCAGGTACAGGTGAATATGGACGAAGAAAATCAAGAATTTCTTCACGTGTTGCACGATAAGGAACATTTGATAATAATAATATACGACCAATATAATCATTTAATTCACTTGGTAATGGTGGTAAATTTGTTGTTGGTGCAATTGGTGGTGTTGATGAACGTCGATCATTAAGAGGTTTTTTTTCATCAGGCAATTTTATTTCAGCTCCTTGATCATCTTTAATTATTCGTGGCGAACTTCGATTAAATCCATATGGCTCTAAACATATAGAAAATTTGATTTTTCTGATTTGTATTAATCGATTGTAATCTTTAATTAAATGATTGATATGACTGTTATGATAAGAGTAACATTATGATTTTTGTACGAGATATTATCTACTTTAGTTCTTTGATCATCAAGGATGAAAATTACTATCCGAAGGTCTGATTTATGATCGTGGAATTATTTTGTAAATAAATGATAGATCCTAATGATCTATGAATATTCTGAAAAGAGTTCGTGCCCTTAATTTATTGCTGCACAGATACTGTATTTTTCCTAAATACTATGATCTTCAAATTTCGATTTAAAACTTTGTGCAGAGACGAATTTTAATGAGACTTCTGTATTGTGAAAATTACAGGTCTTTTCTGAGATAAGACCATCCAATCTACAGGTGTATATAAGCAATGTCAAAAAAAACACAACACGCTTTTACCACAGTCATATCTTATGATAAGAACAACAAAGAAAATCTGAAACTTTTATAATTTATTTGTCTGGTTAAGTTCTGTCTGTATGCAAATTTTCAAGTCGAACGTCGAAAAATCACCTTTCCTAGTATTTCTAATGGAAACTATAATACTGGACTTTTATGATATTTTTTAAATGAATGCCTTGGTTTTCTTTTATGTAAATACCTTCATTGAGGATAAGAGTGAGGGAGATAATTGTCTACATAATTTGGACTCGAAAATGCTTTATCAATTAACAGATTATTTTCGATCATTGACATCTATCTATGAATTAAAAATTACCCTTATCATTATGTGCACCTTCCCATCTTGGTCGTTTATCATTACGTCGATCATCATCTCGTTCATAAAATGATGGATATCGTTTTGTATTAGTTTGTTGAAAATGTTGATTCATTGTAGCTGGTGATGCTAAATCATTTGCTGTCAACATAGGTGTTAATGATGCATTTTGATATTCAAATAATGTTATACGTCGTAAATCTAATGTACGTCCATAAAAAATTTGTCGATTTTTCGATTCATATGCTATTTGACATGATTGAGAATCACGAAAACGTACTAATGCTTCACCAGCACCACGATTAAAACGATCAAGTAACATTTTACAACTTTCAATTTGTATTGATCTATCCGCAAAATAATCATAAATTTGTTTTTCTGTTGTTGAATATGGTATATTTCTTAAACGAAGACAAAC